GTGCAGGCCATATGCATGCTTCCTCAGCCTCTGTGAGTTCATATGACATTCCATCATGTTGATTTGGAGAGTCCTGTGTTCTTGGTATTCTTGGTATTCTCAACCCCTACATGATATTACATTCTTCCTGACTACTCTTCTGTGGGATTTCCCAGGCTCTAAGGAGAGGGATTTGGCAGAGACAACCCATTTAGGACTGAGTGTTTCAAAGGCTTTCACTCTCTGCCTCAAATCTGGCTGTGATTTTGGACATTTGTTCCCACATGCTGCAGAAGGAAGCTTCTCTGATGATGGCTGACAAAGGCACTTATTTACAAGTATAGCAGAATATCATTAGTAGTCATTTTATCCCTACTTTTTTTTTTCAACGGTATTATTTGGTTTTGCCCTTGGCCCCTGGGATACCTAGTCTCAGGTTCTAGATCATCTAAGCAGTGCCAAGTCTTAGTTCCATCTCATGGAGTAGGTCGTAAGTCAAATCACTTATTGGTTGGTTATTCCCACACGTATTGTACCACCATTGCCCTTGCATATCTTGCAGGCAGTACACCATTGTAGATAAAGTGCAGTGTACCTTCCTGTGTCAAAGATGGTAGAACAAAGCAGATGAATGAAGGCTCTGTGTAGGTACCAGCTTTGATCATTGACATAAAATATCTAATTTCATTTTAGCTCTTTCTGATCTGGAGATCCTGACCCAATCAATCACATTTTTTTTTGCTGGCTATGAGACGACAAGCACTACTCTTTCCTTTATTGCATATTTACTGGCAATTCACCCCCATGTTCAGAAGAAATTGCAGCAAGAGATTGATACAGTCCTGCCTAATAAGGTGAGTACATGGTACTGGAAGCTACAGGGAAAATGTCAAACCTCAACCTGAAACACTACTTCCACACTTGCATTTCAAATTATAGTAAATAAAGTAAGAATTAATTTTTCATCAATGGTCACTGAAAATCTAAGACAAAGGAAAAATTATGTGTAGAGAAAAACTAATCTCAGTAATTCTGTACTCACTCTGTAATAAACACTATCTCTAACTACAATGACACAGTCCAAAAACATGCATAAAATCTCTTTAGATTTTAAGGATAAGCAAGTGTCAGTCAAGGGTCTTCTTTAAACTTAAATGGGTGTTTGCCTGTATGTACATCTCTGTACCATGTGCATATCTGAAACATGAGGAAGCCAGAAGAGGGCCTCAGATTCCCTGAAATTAGACTTCCAGGAAATGTACTCACCATGTGAGTACTGGGAACTGACCCTGGTTCCTCTGAGAGATCAAATAGTGCTCTTAACAATTGAGGCAACCCCCTAAAACTTCAAACAATCGACCTGACAGCTGTATTATTACTATTACTGGAAATGCTTTGGCATGACTGCTATCAGTGGGACCTGTGTGGTCCTTTCTGGGCAGGCTGATTCAGCTATGCTCTGCATTACTCCTCTCTCTAATCACATAATTAGACTCAAACA